GATCAAGTGCTTGAGAAGTCCAGCTCTTCCTGGCAGAGCATCTGTGTTGATGTTTATATCATTGCCCTGCTGTATGGGAAAGGCATGCTTTCTCTTGCTGCTTGGCTAAAAATAGGATGGAATATAGCATTGTATGAGATATTTTAAGAAAGCAAAAACATTTAAGAGGTTAAAGGTTTGGCTTTTGGATCAAAAAAGATCAGTGATATAACCCGTGGTGTTCCTTGAAGACTGAATTTTATCTAGAGTTTGTCAGTGATTCGAACTCTTGGTTAGGCAAGTTATTCTAGGTTCATTTGGTGCAGTCTGAAAAACCCACTCTACTGTCTTTTCTGTCAGCTTCCCAGCATGAAGAGCAGGATTGAAAACAGCCTCTATTTATACCGCCTTGTTCGTATTTGGAAAATCAGTTGTTTCATTGGAGAGAGGGAGAGAGAGAGAGAAGGAGAGAATGAGCAGTCGTCAGGGAGTGTGCTTTGTACGTTATAGTGACTTCAAAATAAAACTGGCACATTTTTGTGTCTAATTATTTTTAGTGAGCTTGGAGGGTTTTAATTAAAATTTAAGAGTGCTCTTCAAGCTCTCCAAGCTCCAATTTTATCCCACTGTATTGTGGAGCACTCGTCACTGTGGAAAAATGTACAGTAACTGGCATGTGCATCTCTGTTTCCTAATGAAAAATGTGAGATTGATGATCAGCAGGGATATAAATATATATTGTCAGAATTAGTTGTAAACCAAGGTCAAGGATACTTTTAATAAGTTATCATTGTTTGGATACATAAAAAATTTATTGCTTCTGAAATTTATGATTCCTGTGGTAAAAATAAAAGGGATTGCTTTAATATTTTCTTAAAAGAGTTAATAAAGCAGTAGGATCTGTATACAGGGGGAGCAGTCATTGTTGTTTCTCACTAAGGTATTTTAAAGTTATTTTCTATGTCATGTTTCTAATGTTTCAGCATTTCTAACTTTATCACTTTGAGGTAAAGGGAATAATGATAAGTGTTTACTCACAGGTAAATTGTTTTAAAGTACGATAAAAAAATTTTCCCACTATCCTTTCCTATTCCCCCATGATTTAATTTTAATGATGATTTCTTTATTTACTCTCTTTGACCCTTCATTTTGCTCAGAGTAGTAGTTAACACTGCTGCAGCTTTGTTTAACTAGGAATAATTTTAAATTGTTCCTAAAATATCATCATATAGATTAGGAAATAAATATCTCACATACTCTCACTTCAAATTTCCCTTGTACTGTAAAGTTAATTATTAGCACAATAAAGCATTCCTGACTTACCTGGCCTGAAACCTAGGTATTTAGGAGACCTGGGTATTTAGGAAGCAGAAACATTGCTTTGCAATCCATTATGATATCTTTCCTTTTTTCCTTAGAAAAAGGTTATTGAAATAGAAAAACTTAAATTTGCAAAGGAAAAGGAAAAACAAAAGCTATGCAACTGAGAATTAATTTATAACATATCAGAACCCTTTACATCCTTGATTAAAAATAAGCAAGAATTGAAGTGCAACTCGATTTTTCAGTCCTGTTTTTATCACACTATTTACAAAAATTAGACAAGGTAAATATAATAAACTCTCATATTTCATTGAATATGTATTGGTTTATGGACACTAATTCTTTCAAAGTAAGAGGAATTAATTTTGGCATTTTCCACTTTATACTGAAGTGTTATGGCTTACATTCGTTTTTAATATGTACATATTACCGTGACACATACTATAATATTGTGATACTATAATTTCCAAAATGTATGTAGTTTCTTCCTATTTAGCTGAAAACAACTCAGTCAAAATACTAAAATTTGAGTAGTCAAACTCAGATAATAAAATATACTGTATATTTTTTCATTGTTTTGAGGACTGTGGCATATTTATCTGTGTAGAGTTATCCAAGAATATCCGGGTGATGTTTAGTTCTGTTTTTTTCATTTGGAATCCTGCATAAGTACTGAATTGAAACATGGGCTTACTCTTTGCGTGGACATAAGGCAAACTGGACTTCTTTACTTATCTTGACCTCTTTGATTTTTGCATTTGTGCATGATCAGAAAGGGGCAAAGTCCGATACGATGAATTGCCTCTGTAAAGCTAGTGTCCTGTTAATGTAGTTGACGTATGTGGCACAGGAGGATGAATACTGTTAATTTTTACCCTTACCTGGATATTGTTTTGAGTGGGAAATTTGAAAATATAAAATTTCATTTTTAACTTTATCTAGCATATATGTCCTCATTTCAAGTCAGAAACGTCTTGGTAGAGGCCATAGTATCCTCTGCATATGTAGCATTTTAGTACATCTTCTGGTACTGCATCTTCTGGTCTTTTTCCCTCACCTTACTTGTTTTACATTACAGTGTGGGCTGTGTTTAGTACTAATTGTGGTATGTATGCCCTTAGAGGTCTGGCAGACAGATAATTAGGTGAAAAAGCTCAGTTTTCCAAGAGACCTTCTCACAGTTTTGAATATTCCTGGAATCTCCCAGAATTGAGATTAAATGCTGATAAAGTTGTATGTAGTGACTTTTATTGTCCTGTAGATAAAGGCAATCAGTGATTGTTACTAAATATTTTCATGGGCTATAAATATAGACTTGCAAAGCCTGCTTTATGTTTTTCCCCTCAGTGTCTTCTACTGAAATGGGAATGCATATAGCTAGATTAACTCAGCATTATGGTGAGAATTAATTTTCTAATAGGAATGTGAAATGTTTTGAATTTATTAACCATTTTATTAATGATTAGCTTTTATGTAAAGCTGTGTCTTCAAACTTATTTGATAAATGTTTGAAGTGTATATTCTTTTTGTCCATATAGTTCTGTTTTTCTCCCATGAAGTTTCAGCATTCTTTTTCTGGAGCTCTGAAAGATTTCAGGTCTATTAATAGAAATGAGAGACATATTTTAGCCTGTTTTACATTTAGTGTGTATCTAATCCTAGTTTATGAACTTGCTGTGAATTTTGGATGATTACTAGTCAATTGGGATTTTGTCTTGACCATTATAATATGTGCACTCAACTCAAATTTTAACCAAACAAGTTATGCTTTAGCGTTCATATCAGTGATTATCAGTTTAGTACAATGTTATAACATGTATGAAAAGGTTAAAAAAAAGTAACAAAACTGAGTAAGGTAGGAAGTTGAAGACATTTTGTTGATTATTCTTATACATGGTCTAATGTTATATCCAGAAATTTAGACCTGATTTGAGAAAAAGTAGTCTCTGATAGGCATGGCTTTGAAGATTTTGCTTCTTAACTCTCAAATCTAGTATTATCTTTTCTATGACTTTAGCATAAAAACAAAATATGTATGGAACGAAGTATATACCTTGATTCTGAATTTAAAATAAAAGTAACAAGAGAACATTTTGAAAATTAAATACGAACTGAACATATGCATATGCATAAAGGCCCTATTGGCAGGTCACTCAGAATCCAGTTTTTAATCACAGTGGTAGGTCACTTGTTGAAGCCTCAGAAAATAATTAATAGGAAAGACTGGAAGGAAAGAAGGAGGAAAGGAAAGAAGGGAAGAAGTAAGGGAAGGAGCAGGGAGCTTTCACTTAATAGAATCAAGCTGACTTCTATTTAGAAAGAACTTTAGCTTCTGTGATAGAGAGCTAGTATAGTTGTTCTTCATCAGCCATTTCCCAACATACTGATCTGGATTCTGTCCATTCCTTGATTGATTGATCATGTCACGAACAAACGTTAATTGTTTTCACCAATACTTTCTAACCATGCAGTGGTCCTCTCATCTCTTACCCGGGGCTCACTGTCTTCTTTTTAAAGCTTATCTAGTTTCTAAAACCCTTCAGATCCATCTTGACCTTACTGTCATTCTAAAAAATTCAAGGAGGATTTAGAAGTTGGAGAAAAAATGAAAGGGAAAATGCTAAAGAGATAGGTACTGATATGGGAGAGGAAAAGGCATTTGGAATTGAAGTAATTATTTTAAATATAATTTAAAAAAGGAGTTATCAGAATTTTGACACTTGGAATGTTAAAGTTTAATGGGAGTATTCTTTGCACTGAGGATTGAGTATTTAAATCTGCTTTCCCTTTTGGAAACATGGGCTGTTTGTTAAGATTTGAGGCTTAAAAGATACACGTAAATAGTTGTAAGCAGTAGCTCCAGTTGCAAATCCATCTGAACAGAGAGAAAAAAATAACTCATTGATAAAAATTTGCTAATTATTAGAACATTCTAAAATTTAAACTTCTGTAAACTTTATGAATCTTAATAGAAACAAGTGTAATCTAGTATGCTATTTAGAAATGCTATTTAGAAACGCAATAGGTCAAGCAGCATTTAAATAAGGATTTTCTTGAAAAGATCATGCATCTCTTTTTATATAAGAGAAAAGGTTTAACTATTTTCATTACTGGGGGACAGAGGACATCATGACTTTATTTTCTTTGCATTTTACTCTAAATGGGTATTTTACAAAAGTTGCCATATGTTTATTTCTTTTTTAAGGACTAAGTAGTTACAGGTCGATTGGTCTCTTCTCCTTTGAAGATTTATCATTCTTCCTTGAATAGCACATGAATTTTGCTTGGACTTAAAAAACATCACCTGGTTTGAAAGGAATAATATCTAAACTTAAGCTTGTACGAAAAAGCCCCTTGTTCTGTCCAATTGGTCTAAGAAGTGATAAATGCTGGCTGAATATTAATTAACTATAGTTATAATACCAAGATAAGATTATTGAGCATTATCTTTTTTTTTCGTGGGAATAGTTTAAATAATCTTCCCGCCAAAAGAAATTTAGTTATGGTATTTTGTAGTAGATAACGGAATATAATTGTCTGTATCCTAGGGTTAAAACAGCAACAACAAAGAATAGCTTTAATCATTTTTGAATAACAGAATTTCTCCATAAACTCCACAGCCTTCTGTATTTGTAATATTTTAATACTTATCAAATACATGTGTAATAGTTTTATTACTTACTTTTTTATTTTAATAGATTCCTCCTGCATGGAAAAACTACTTTCGAAAGATTGGAAGGAAAAAATGGAAAGATTAAATACCAGTGAACTTCTCGGAGAAATTAAAGGTACAATATACAGAATATCAAACATATCAATGTAGAAATATTATTTTGTTCCACAACACATTTGCTTATCTTCTGTGCCCTAACATTAAATTCTTATCTCTAATATTTGTTTATATCTGAGAGGGTAAATGTATAGTGTGTTCCTGAACTTTATTCTTTTGTAATGTTTATAGAATGAAAGTTTTGCCCTTTCTTTTTTAGTCTATAAACATATAACTTATAGGATAAACTGCTTCATTAGTTTACTGAACAAAAAGTATGAAAAAGAAAAAAGGTTATGTCAAAGCTGAACAAATTAAGTTAAAGATAATTTTAATCCTTCCTTTTGAAATCATAATAATAGCTTAACTGATGAATCCAAATCACTGATTTGAATTTCTTCTGATCAAAAAGGGTCAGCTGTAGTAACTGTAAAAAAGGAGTTTATAGAATGTGCTGTTTATGGTTTATGGCTGGATTCTGAGGCCTGGTTACCTGTTCAAATCCTGGCTCTGTCACTTACTAGATGAGTGATTTTGGGCAAGTCACTGAAGCTTTCTATGTTTTGAATTCCTTGTATCTAAACTGAGGATAATAAAAATACCTACTTCATAGACTCATTAAGAGAATTAGTATATGGAAAGCTTTTAAAACTGCCTGGCACTTAAGAAAGTCCTCATGAGGGAAAGTTGTGGTTGTTGTTAACTGCCCATAGGATTGTAGGTTGATTAATCTCAATCAGATTTCACCGGACTTAACATTTCATGATCTCCAACCGGGATGAGAATGAGCATCTTTATTTTTAAAGATAAGTGATTGACGTTATTATTTTGAAACATGTTAAGAAGTGGGCAGTCCCAATCCATTACAGAATTAAGCTGCCCTATCAGGTAAGAAGCTATGGGGCTTCCCTGGTGGCGCAGTGGTTGAGAGTCCGCCTGCCGATGCAGGGGACGCGGGTTCGTGCCCCGGTCCGGGAAGATCCCACGTGCCGCGGAGCGGCTGGGCCCGTGAGCCATGGCCGCTGGGCCTGCGCGTCCGGGGCCTGTGCTCCGCAACGGGAGAGGCCACAACAGTGAGAGGCCCTCGTACCGCAAAAAAAAAGAAAAAAAAAGAAGCTATACTTTTTGCCCAATTCTCTCTTGTTGATTCCTTTGTGGAGATGAAGTGCTGTATCACTAGCTTTTGGTATCATGAATAGAATCCATTGTCATTAATTAATTTTTTCAGTTGTCCCTTACAGACAGTCATCACTCTGACTTGACCTGACAATTTGGGAACTTAATTACATTAGTTTTCTGAATTTTTCAAATGACTTCAGGTGAATATTCCCATGGATAATTCCTCGTTTAAGATGAACATTTTGCGATAACTATCTGATGAAAATTTTATTTTGAATTTATTACAGAAAACTGCTTAGTGTTCAGGCATGTTACGTTCAACTCAAATGAAGAGAAAAGGGAGTCATATCTTTTCCAAGAAATAATTAATAACTCATTCTATTAACTAATGCAGTATGAAAATCAAGTGGAAATTAGATATTATTTTGAATTTCACTGCTTCTGTTTTGTACTCATAAAGGCCATTTGCTATTTTGGAAAACAAAAAGAAACTCAACTTAAAACTGACGGGTAGAAAGAAAGTCATTAGTGACATATTCTTTATCCAGCTGCAATAACATGGTGTGTGCTACTTTGCACGTCATTCTGTGTTTTCTTCCCTTTCCAAAGTCATTGGTTTTATGACAGTGAGAACAGAAATGGTTTATGCAAAGGCAAGCTTTTGCCAGCGTGAATGATGGGGGTCTTGCTTTCTCTCAGTCATGTGGAAGCTAACATTTTATTATGTTATGATTCAGCATCGAGTTTTTATGCTTTGGGTTATCTTTCCCCCTCCCACTTTCTATCTTTATTTTTGATTCTAAAAATGCAAAAGCTGTACTAGTTTTATATAATCAAAATATATAAATCTCAAAAGTGAAACATGCAAAATTAGGCTTTTCAAATTCTTTAACTTTTTCTTTTCTGGATTCTGTATGTGAAGTGTAAACTTTCATTTGTGTGCTACCCTCAGTTTTATGGGCATAGAAGATAAGATTCTTACTAAATTTTTCATTTTGATTTACTCTATGTAAGTGTCTCTTTTTACATCTTAATATCTTGTCACCATAAACATTATACAAAAAGTATACCAATAATATAAAAAATTGAAAAAAAATTAGTTAAAGTAGTGTTCAAATAGTTTGATTCAGCCACTGCTGAAACTCAGCATACATTTTTGTTGTAGGTGAGATCAGATCAGTTATTAGCCACCAAAATTAGTTATAATTATTCTGAAATTTTAGGGTGATCTAAATACTATCTCCAAGAAAAATATACTAGGGGAATTCCCTGGCGGTCCAGTGGTTAGGGCTCCGCATTTCCACTGCAGGGGGCACCGGTGCAATCCCTGGTCGGGGAACTAAGATGCTGCATGCCGTGCAGTGTGGCCAAAAAATAAATTAAAAGAAAAAAGTAAAACATACTACAGTGGGTTATCAGGGTTCAGTATATCTCAAGCGTGTGTATTTATATATCTCATTATTTTTCCCTCATTACAAAATTCATATACATTTATTGTAAAAAGTATATAAACACACCCAAAGGAAAATGTAATTGCCCTTTCATTCTACCTGTATTATAGTATATATCTTTTCCACTTTAAATTATGCATAAAATTTTTTTCCCCTTAAAATTGGAATCATCCTTTTACTATTCATTTGTAATCTATTTTTCCCACTTAATGATATATTGTGAATTTCCCTGATTAGGTCATCTTCTAAACTATTATTCTTATTTGCAGAAAATATTGCATAAAGTGAGGTTCTTATAATTTAACTGAGTCTTTTATTCAATATTTAAGTTGTTTTTATTGTTTGTCATTATAAAGAAAACCTTGAACATGGTAACTTTTTAATACTTTTCCGTGTCAATTAGTGGCTATTTTCTTATGATATATTTCTAAAAAGTGAAATTACTGGGTCAAAGAAGGTGTTCTTTTTAAAAAAGTCTTTTGATTCACATTGCCCTTCAGGTATAGTGTTCTGTGCTCTCACCAGCAGTATCTGCGAGTATTCCCTTGCCCTCAGTAGCAAGTATTATTATTTTAAACGTTTCTTGCCAGTTTGATAAGGGAATATAACATATTATTGCTGACTTAATTTGAATTCTTTGGATTTTTATTGAGAATGAAGAGTTTTACATGAATTTATTTGTATTAAATGTCTCTTCCTTTGTGAATTGTCTGTTTATGTTGTTTGTCCATTTTTCCTTTAAAGGATTTGTCTAGTTTTTATGGTTTTTAAGGCTCTTAATGTATATTTTAATGGTATTAGCCTTAATTTGTCATATATGTATATTTTGTCATTTTCTTTACTTTATGGTTTTGTTGTTAAATCTTTGCCTCCCTTTTGTAATGCTCTTTTTTTTTTTTCTGTTTGGGGTTTGTTTAGAAAGGCTTCTCCCAGTCTAAAATTATATAATATTCTACTATATTTTCTTCCAGTTCTTTGACTATATTTTTATACACTTAAGTCTTTGATTCATCTTGAATATATTCTGAGTATAATTTCAACCAGAGATATAACTTAATTTTTTTCTCAAGTTAACCAAATATCTCTGTATCATTTATTAAGTAACCCATCTTATCCCATCTGACTTGAAATAACATCTTTTATTACATACTGATTACATATTTGGAGCCATTTCTCAGTTTTTGGCTCTATTCCATTTATCTTTCTACCTAAACTTTTACAGTGCTAGGCTATATTAATCACTGTAGCTTTATAGTATCTTTGAAAAGTATTGCAAGACCTCATTTATAATTATTCTTTAAGGTGTTTGTATACTTCTCTAAAGTTTATCTTAGATTTATATGTTGTTAATTAAAATTGCAAAGTGATTTTTTAAAAAAGATTATAAAACTATGGGATAACAAATCTTTTTAGCATTGAATCTTTCCATTCCAAATAACTTACTCAATTCTTTTATGTCCCTCAACAATGTTTTGTTTTTTATATACAGATTCTGCACATTTCCTTTGATGTTTCCTTTATAATATTTAATATTTTTACTTGCTCTTATGAATGAGATATTTTTCATACTACTATATTTTTGTTACTATATTTGGGGGTGTTAGTAAATTTTGCTGATTCATTTTATAACTTCCCTTTTTGTCAGACTTATTAGCGCTAGTCATATTTCAGCTGATATGTTTTCTCCTCTTTTTTAGCAGTTATTTGTTCCTTTTTTTCACCCCTTCTTTTAATACACTGCCTAGAATATCAAGAATAATATTAAATAATACAGGTGATAGCAGGTATTTTTATTTAGTTTTTAATTTATGGAATTGTTTTTAATGTTTCACCGTAAGTATTATACTGACTGTTGATTTAATGATTTTTATCATTAAAAATCATGCTAGTCCACTTTATTAGGAGTTTCTATGAGAAATTGCATTTTAGTTTATGGCATGTCTTATTGGTTTTCTGTTTTTCAAATTTACTGATGAAATAAACCCTAATTAGTCATGGTGTAGTCTTGTTTTAATGTACTGCATAATTTTATTTGCTTACATTACAGTTATTTTTGCATCTGTATTTGTAAATGAGATTAGTTTGTGTTTTTCTTTATTTGTACTATCTTTGTTAAATTTTAGTGCCAGAGTTCATGGAATTGGAAAGCTTTTCCTCCTTTTTTGTGGAGGAAGGCTATGTAAAACCATTGAATAGACAACATCTTATTAATAAGTGGGAATCTTTTTTTATATTCTTTTTGTGTCCTTTGCCTGAAGTGGGTCTCTTGAAGGCAACATATTGTAGGCTCTTGGTGGTTTTTTTTAATCCGATCTGCCACTCTGTCTTTTGATTGGAGCATTTGGTCCATTGACATTTAAGGTAATTACTGACAGATATGTATTTGTTGCCAGATAACTGAATCACTTTGCTGTATATCAGAAATTAATCAAACAATGTAAATCAACTA